CTAACATGCTTAGTCTAGATTCAAATATGGTTTCAACAAAAAGAGGAACATAAACGAAAAGAGTACCACAATCGTAGATTTTGCTTTATATTTTTGTAGATATTTTTCAAACAATAACAATATATATTTTTGTAGATATTTTTCGTAAACAGAAGAAGCAATCTTCCCACTAGCTAGTTCCTTTCTACACATCGATACTTCATGCTGAACTAAGAAAATGTTAAGGTTCTTTAACATCTTCTTTTAAGAGTTCTTTTGTTATAGTTTCTTTGTTTCATACTTTTCAACTCTCTCTTAGTTACCGATATATATGCAAGTGTATTTAAAGTGATTTGCATAAAACAAAAATGGGGATTTACTTTACATCTCTTTGCCTCTTTCTCATCATCCTCAATTTCTCTATCTATGTTGTTCTTTTGTTAGCATCACCGACTCTTATTCTCAATCTCATTCACGCCAACCAAATACATTCCCTAAAACATCCACATGTCTCTCGTATCGAGGAAGCATCCCTTGCGCATCTAGATTACTTGCAAGCCAAGGCAAGTGGAGATATCATTGCACATCTTCACCCTAACATCCCGACATCTTTCTTGGTGAATATATCAATAGGTAACCCACCGATCATGCAACTTCTCAACATGGACACTGGCAGTGACCTTACGTGGCTACAATGCACTCCTTGCACCAACTGTCTTCCCCAAAGCATTCCCTTTTTTGACCCTTCACGGTCTTACACTTACCGCAACGAGTTCGATTCTTGTAGAACCACTAAATATTCTATGCCTAGTTTACGCTTCAATGCGAAAACGAAATTTTGTGAATACTCTATGAAATACATGGATGGTACATGGAGCAGAGGCACACTAGTTAAAGAAACCTTGACCTTTAATACCATCTACGGTGAGTTTTCGTCAGCTTCTTTACCTAACGTGGCTTTTGGTTGTGGCTATGATAATTATGGTGAACCGCAATATGTAACCGGTGTCCTTGGTTTAGGATATGGTAGACTTTCGTTGCTGCACCGATTTGGTAAAAAGTTCTCATGCTGTTTTGGTAGTCTATACGATCTTTCGTACCCTCATAATGTCTTAGTCATAGGAGATGATGGCACAGACATTTTGGGAGATACAACACCGTTGGAGATCGAAAACGGTTTGTATTACATTGGAATTGAAGCCATCAGTTTGGGCGGGATAATACTCCCCATAGATCCATGGGTATTCAAACGTAATTACGAAACCGGTTCTCGCGGCGCAATTATAGATACCGGAACCACATTAACATACCTGGTTAGAGAAGCTTATGAACCATTAAAAAACAAAATTGAAGATGTTTTTGACGGAAGCGTATGTTCATCAACTTGGGAATACGAAGATGGAGTGCTACAATGGAGATATTGAGCGAGATTTGGTTGAATCTGGATTCCCAATTGTAACATTTCACTTTTCAGATGGAGCGGAGTTGTCATTAGATACGAAGAGTGTGTTCACGCAGATGGATATACCGGGTGTTTTCTGCTTAACCGTGACCCCGAGCACTAGTGGCAATTTGAGCATCATAGGTGCGTTGGCTCAACAAAATTATAACGTAGGATATGATCTCAAAGCGAAGAAGGTTTCTTTTGAGAATATTGATTGTGGTATCCTGTTTGATTACTGATTATAAATTAATAACATCTATGTTCAATTATTATCGTTGTACAACATGTCCAACCACTTTCAACATGAAAGTTCTTGATGGTGTGAAAATAATATGCAATTGTTAGTTAAATTTTCATTGTTTCTGTGTGGTCGTCTCAAAGAAGACTAGTTGTAGATTAGGAGTGTTCTTTTTGTTAAGTAATTAATAAATCTATATATATCTCAAGAATTACCAACATTTTTAACGAAAAAATAATAATCACATTTGGACATGTCATTGTTCAAAGGAACTAGCACGACTCAGAAGTAAAAAGCTTAACTGGAGCCATGCCCGTTCCTAGAGTTTAGGAGGCCTAAGGCACACAAAAAAAAAATTGGGATCCCAAAAGTAGGGGTGGACAAACGGGAATTCGGAACGAGAATGCTTAAGAACGGGAACGGGACGAGAATTTGGAAATCATAAGACTTGTCCCATTCATGTCCAATATATAATTT